TAAACGTTCACTGTTATTGGTGACTGTTTAGTCGTCTTCATGAAGTTCATGCTGAAAATATTTTAGTTTCATTAATATTTCTTCTTTTTCTTACAGTAAGTGCTTACAGACTTTATTTACACAAGCATGTTCTGCATTTTCTTCCATTGAACGTCTTATTGCTGCTTTCTTGACATTCAGACTAAAGAATATGTGAATTTTTTGCGAGGAATCTTCAATTTTTCGAAAAGTATAGGAATATAGGAAAAAAACCTTGAAAAATAGTCCATTATAGGACTAATTTTAAAAATATAGGAAATACAGTCCCACTACGAGGCCAGGATATGAGTAAGAATATTTTGACTCTGTGGGGTCCGAGACCAAAAACGAGTAATCCAACTCATATCTACTTTCAGTACATATCTACTATACAGGTATCGGGCTTGATATTTTGTACTGTTGTTCTACATTATACGAAGAGTGTGAACTTGTTTCAAAATGCTTCTCATCCCTGTTGTACTATTTCGTTTATGAATATGTAGGACGTTCAAAAAGTATCCGGACTGATTTTATTACAAAACAATAGAAAGAGCTGCTGTGCGTGTTTTATTGTCTGTGTGTAGTTTATACACTCCTATATCAATAGACACCGTAAACTCTTTTGAATGATGCGTAGATGTGAAAATATGGAAATACATTTCAGACCACTGTTTATACACTGACAGAAAAAGCGAAATTTCGGGTACCAACCAATGATCAGATTTTTTGTTCGATAAGACTATTGCTCATGTAATAATCACGAAAATATAGTGATCGATTATAACGGTCAATTCGCTGTTCCTTAGTAGAATTTCGAAATAGAACCGTTGCCTGACATCACATTGATATCTATTTATTCACTTTCAGAACGATGAGCCCATTTAAATATTATAGTGTGTAATAGACCACTATCACTGCGAGCTGTAGCCATAAACTCATAAATATTCAATTGAAACTAACCTGAGGAAAAACCAAAACTTCACTGAGCTTTGTAGTTTTTTTCACTGTATAAAGAGTGGTCTCAAAGATATTTTCATATCTACGCATCATTCAAAAGAGCTTACGGTGTCTATGGATAGAGGAGTATATAAACTATACACAGACAATAAAACACACTCAGCAGCTCTTCCTATTTTTTTTTTGTATTAAAATTAGTCCGGATACTTTTTGAACGCCGCACGTATTTGAGAAAAATAAATTATAGACGATTCAAAAGAGAAAAAAAATTCTTGATCAAATTAATTTTGTATCACATGTTATTTATATTTTACTATTTTGTACTAATCTATAAACTTTTAATTTTTACTTAGAATTCAAGTATATCTATGCTATAAGACATTTTAATCTCAAACAATATTTTAATAATTGCTTTTGATTGTTTTGTAGAAATAAATACCTAATGATTGATCTTGTCCTGTAATAAATGTAATAGATGGTTCCCAAACAACAGCAAGAAATACACTTGGAATTAAAACAATACTTAAAAATAAAACAACTAAAATATATAATGGACTTCGAAAATATTTCCAAAATGAACTACTATCTAATTGATCTAAAATAAAAGTAATAAATAAGATTTTTTTTTTCTTTATATTTTAAAAATTTAATTTTAATACTTTCATCTGTTAATTCAAGTTGAACATCAAATTTATATGGTAAATTAAGAAAAGAATATTTCCAATCAAGAAATAAAAATGATGTTATAAACATTATTAAACCAAATGCTAACCAAATATAGGCTAAATGATTTAATTCTAATATTCCATTATCAATTATGACCTATCGAAAAATCGTTTTGTTTTTCATTTATTAAAAAGAAAAAAAGATATTTACTTGAAATATTGAAAACCACATTGTTGATGAGATTCCAGCTCCTACTAATAAAGATGCTACAAAAGCACGAGATTTTGAAAAATAATTTGATGATGTATAAGTTGTTATGACAACTACAATTCCACTTATTGATGAAAATATACAATGAATATATAATAAATAGTCTCGACCTTTATTTTCATTCATTTTAAATAAATAAAAAAAAAAAAAATTTTTTTTTTTTATTTTAATTTTTTACCTGGTTGTAAGAATGCTAATGATAACCATCCAATTATATGAAATATTCTTTGAACAAACAAAAAAAAAAGGAATAAAATAAAAGTTTCGAAAGACACAAAAAAGATTACATTGATATTAATTTCACAAAACGACAACCAAATTTATCAATAAGAATTCCAATAACAAATGATGGCAAATCAAAAAAAGCAATTCCTAATGTTAATCCATTCTTTCAAGAAAAAAGACAAAATAAATTTATTTTAAAAAACTAAATCTATAAAAATAGTTACTTGATATTGTTGAAGTTGCTCTAAACATTTACCTGTTGTTGATGATGGACATAAATTTTGATAAATTTTATTTTTTGATAAAACTTTAAAAATGGCCGGAAAACCATAGATTGTTCCACCAAGAAGATTCATTTCTATTAATAGCAGCAATACACCTAACCATTTTCGATAAACATGCTTCTCTCTTGAAATATCCATTGTTTTTAAATTATCTTTAAAAACAAAAAAGTGTTTCATCGAATACTATTTAACCTTTATAAGAGAGAAAAAAAATGACTTTTTTCGTTTGGTATATATAGCATTTCTACTTTTTAAAATCTTTGTCATGAAATCAATTATTCAATTTAGAAATAAAGTTAATAGATCATTTTACAGTTGTATTTGTCGATATTATAATTAATTATTCAATTATATAATATATCTGATTTTGTTTTACTAAAAATTATTCCAACAAAAATAATTATCTATCTTTGATTTTTTAAAATCAATGGGCTTTTGCAAGCATTGAAAAGATTACGAGAATAAATAGATGGGTGTGTGTTGGACTAATTGAAGACAACACAAAGAAAGTCGATCTTCTAGAATAATTATTGGCTTTCGAATGATCTTGATATCTAAACATGTTCATCACGTTTATCATTAAGAAAAAGAATTTTTCACATAGTTAATCAATTTTTTAAATAGATCATACAAAATTATCAAATAGCTTCTCAAATATTAGTAATAGTTCTTGGCTGCTTCTATCAGAAATAACAAACTATGGTCGTAAACTATTGTAAAGAAAAGAAGACTTCATTTTTTAACTTGTTACTTAATCATTTAGGACGACAAAATCTAACACTTCCTTAGTTGATTGTGTATCGTAGAGATAAATGCAACAAGTAAATGATTTTTTAATTTTTATGAATTGAACTGAATTATGCTAATTTTTCGAGAATTCTTACCGAATTCAAGTGTTTTTCATTGTGTTTTTTTAATTGAGAGAATAGAATCTTGCAAGATTCTTCGAACCTATCTTCAACTGTATCTTTCTCCTGAGACAAAATACAAAAGCAAAATAACTGATTAAAATCAATTGATTTCTCCACAAAATGAAACCTGTAAATGATTTTTTATTTCTTATCGAAACAATTAGTAAGAATGAAGTCGAAAACAACGACCGGATGGGTAGAATAATGAAGGTAGAATATTCCTGTGTTTCGCTTAGCTTGCAGTATGGCGTGATGGTACCAAGATTTGAACACAGTACCTTGTAGATACGTGTCGAACTAAGTAGCCAATCAGTCATGGTGATGATGAAACGACTGATGGACCTAATCGTCGGTATTTCACGGAATTCGACTGTTTTCTGTTCTATATCATTAATCAAAACGATTCTTTTGAAGCTTTCTGTCTTCAATTGTTTCTTCAAGCTTGAATACTCTTGCTTTATCATTTGCAATCAAACAATAAGAAACAACTTACTTGGAAGAATTAAAGTTAATGAGAAATAGTCAGAATTCACAAACATATCATCTTTCAATATAGTCGATAACAATTTCTGTATAAAATCGACTACAATGTATTTTTGTAAACTTATTTTTAAATAAACTATTGTAATTATTATTTCTGCGGCGATTATTTCATTAGCATCTGAAAGGTGAAGGTATTAGGTGTAAAACTTGGGATAATCCTGAAGAGAAGACTCATCCAAACTTTCAAGCTATAACTCGCTTTGAGTTAAAAAGTAAGATTTTTACCGTCAAAGTAGTTTTTCAAATAATTTTAAAAAATCGAGAAAAAAATCAAAAAATTGTTTTTATGATGATTCAAACTTCTGGAAGAAAGCGATGTGCATTGAGCATAACGTCATGATTTCTCTCTCGACGTATTCCTTTATAGACACTACCGAGTATGCTCTCTTTATTGTCATATATATTTATATATTGACTCTTGTTCTTATTCATTCTGGTGTTATCGGATCTACTTGCTATATATTGTTCAATTCGATTTAAAGATATGATATTTGAAAAAATATTTTTTCCATCAGCTATTATTACTAAGTCAACAAGAGCACAATATATATTCTATCATCCATTTATACATGACTGTATTTTCAAAAAGAGAAGAATACATGATTCATTATCAGTTTCAGGAAAACAGTTTTCTTCACATGAAATAAAACGTATATTATGTGATGTTAAAGACTTAATATGATTATTTATTTCAACAAAACCCATAATAAATGTACAATTGTCAACATATCACAAAGTTTTATCCTATGTAGTAACGGATTTCAAAAATCGATTGATTTTAGTTATTCATCATACATTCAATGAAACATAAAATAAACGACAATGTGAATTGTTTAGTGGATTAACTAAATAACAAATTCAATCATTTGAAACAGAGTACAGCTTAAATGAAAAGTTACATATTTTATTTTATACACAAATGTAATACAGATAATAATGATCCCCTTCTCAGTAAAATATTTGATATATCTCATCAACTTATTTCTAATTGTTTTAATCAGTCTATCGAAGATCTATATAATAGTTTGGTAAACAACGAAATAGATATCAGTTAAATTGAACACAAAAAGTAATTAATATAGATACTCCAGCATTTGAAAAATAATCATTACAAGTCAATTTTAGCAACGTTACAGTCTCTATGAGTGACTTCCCGAGATATATCAAAATAAGTTTAGAGAACAGTTTTGTAGGAATACAAGGTAATTATGATTGTACTGGCTATAATAGCATATAAACCATTATTAGTACATTAACAAATAATAATTATGTACAGTCCGACCAAAAAATTCTGGGACACTCAGTCATGTTTGTGGAAAATTTTATACTTCGTTCGAATTGAACTTTATATATATGGTAAGTGTAGTTATTGCTCAAGCTTTCTCATCCGTCGAGTTTCGTTCGGATGAAAATGGTATCATTTGAAAGCCCATACAAAACTGAGTATAACTCGTATGTGCTCATCATTAAGATCATGGAAAAAAGAAACTTTCCATATGACGGTTTTTTGCTGGAAAACGCTACTGATCATCAGAAA